AAGGGTTTAAGCGGTGTGTGGGGAGGGGCCCTGCACGGGCACAGCACCTGTGCTTCAGCTCTTGCTTTTGCTGCCTCTCTGAGGCTCCAGAGGCTGCCCCAGGGCTGGGACGGTGCTTTGACACTCTCCAGATCCATCTCCCCAGCACATTTTGGGAGGCAACCAGGGGAGTATGTCAGGACAGGCTGGGCTGGGGATGATGAGGCCCAACAGGGAGGAGCTGGGGCCAGCTGGGTGCCGGGTGTGGCTGCAGGAGCACAGGGCTAGGGGTCTGGGGATGTCATGGGTCTGCCCTGAGGGTCTGAAGGTCTGGAGGGGGGGAAAACAACTGGGATGTAGCTGTGACAGCTCTCCCCAGGACCCAAACTTCTCCCTGGCATGGTGGTCCATTGGCAGGACCTGCTCTGCTGGGGCACTCTCTGCCCAAGCATCATGCTGGGCCACCCTGCAGCAGCACTCACCCAAAGGAAAGCTCAGGAAAGCCCAGTATTAAGGTGCTTGGTGTGGCCTGAGTGTGGCAAACCAGTCAAGACACTTCTGTGTGGACTCCAGCAAGAGCTGCTAATGGGCAGGGCAACGCCCAGACCCAGTACAGCCTGGGGTTGGGTGGTGGATAGAGAGCATTGTTGTCGGACCTGAGTCAATCGGTGACAGAGCAGCTCTACAGAGAGGGGCTGGAGATACTGGTGGGTGACAGATGGGACATGAGCCAGCACCGTACGCTCACAGCACAGAAAGCCAACTGCATCCTGGGCTCATCACTGGCAGCATGGCCAGCAGGGTGAGGAGGGGACTGTCCCTTCTGCTCTCCTGAGACCTCTTCTGGGGCACTGCATCCATCTCTGGGGTCCCCAGCACACGGACCTGTGAGAGGGAGATGGACATGAAAATGGTCCAAGGGCTGGGACTGCTCTGCTGTGGGGAGAGGCTGGGAGAGCTGGGAGTTTTCAGCCTGGAGAGGAGACAGCTCTGGTGAGACTGTGCTGGGGCATTTCAGTCCCTGTAGTGATGGGACAAGAGGCAACGGTTTTAAACCGCAAGAGGACAGGGTTAGATTGGACATGGGGAAGAGAAGTTTCACCATGAGGGTGGTGGGACACTGGGGCATGTTGCCCAGAGAATTTGTTGATGCCCTGTCCCTTATGGGAACTGTTCAAGGCCAAGTTGGATAGGGCTTTGAGCAACCTGATCCAGTGAAGATGTCTCTGCTCATAGTGAGTGGGGATTGGACTGGATGGTCTGTGAAGGTCCCTTCCTACCCTAATGCTCTGCAACCCATGACTGGTGAAATCCTCCTGATCAGGAGATCAAAAAAAAAAATGCTGCCCATTTTCCCCTGCTCCATGAGCCCACTGCAACCCTCTCTGAGTCCCCCCAAGCCCCTCTTTGCTTCTGCCATGCCCATGCCAAGTTCAGAGGTGGTCCCAAGCTCCAGGTCCCGCTGCCTGCAAAGTGGCATGGCACTACCTCACTACTGAGCCCCCACATCTCCCTGGGCAGGTGGATAAAGTTTGAGGAGAAGGTGGAGGATGGTGGGCACCGCTGGAGCACACCCCATGTCCCAGCCCTGACCCTCCACAGCCTTTTCCAGCTGAGGACATGCCTGCAGAATGGGACAATGCTCCTGGATCTGGATGCCTCGAGTTTTAAGGAAATAATTGGTATGTGGGGAATGCACAGGTCACCTCCTTGAACAAGTGGTCATCAGAGAGGGACCAGGCCACCAAGGAAGTCCTCACATAAAAGCCCTGATGCATGATGGCCGGGTACCTGAGGTGGTGGTCTGTTGCTCCAGCAAAGTGGGTCTTTCCCTGGGCAGTGAACTGAGGGGACTCAGGGCTGTCCCCATCCCTGTTGCAGATAAAGTGCTTTCTGGGCAGCCTGAGGAAGCAGAGCTGCAGCCTGAGCTGAGGCAGCACCTGGCAGCCCTTCTGCTCCGCCAGCCACAGCACCAGCCCACCATGTCCCCCCTGCAGCTCCTGACTGAGCTCAGTCTCTCTCCCTGCCAAGGTAGGCACAGTGCCCAGCAGCATGGCTGTCCCACCCGGCACCATGGCTGCCCCACTTGCCACCACAGCTGTCCCACCTGGCACCCTCTGCTGCCTCCAGCCTTCAGCAGTACCCGTGCCAGCTGTTTGCTCACACTTGTGTTTTGCTGCTTGCCCTGCTTCTTTGCAGGGAAGGCCAAAAGCTGCTCTGAGCCTGGAGCCCAGGTCTCCAAAACACCTCTTAAGGGTCAGGTAAGGCAGGATGGAGCTGGACTGGGGGAAGCTGCTGCACCAAAGCCCCAGCTGCTGCATCCCTTTCCTTTCAGCTGAGAAACCGATTTAAGAAGAAAATCCCACGGGGGGCTGAAGCAGCCCACGTTGCTGTAGGTGAAGTGGAGTTCCTGGAGAAGCCCTTCACTGCCTTCATCCGCCTCAGGCAAGGGGTGGCCCTCGGCTCCCTGGCTGAAGTCTCCCTTCCCAGCAGGTAACCAGAGCATGGCTGATGGCCCTGTGCCCCTGTCCACCCCTGTGTGCCCACTCCTTCCCACACAGGATGGGGTTTTGCTAGGTGAAAGCCAATGGTGCAGCACCCACAAGCAGTCCCAGAACTCTTTCTTGCTGCTTCCCGTCCTGCTTTTCCCAGCTCCTTAGGAGGATCCTGGGATGGAGCGAGAGCTTCACAGCCTTGGGAGGACAATCCTTGGGATACTCTCACCTGGGCTTTGCTTTCACTCTCTTCCTTGGGAGGTGCTGGATGTGCTTCACTTACTGCCCAGGAGCACGGGGGCTAGTGGCTGGGAAGAGGGACACAGGTCTGCAGGAGCCTCTTGCCCTCCCATTGCCTGTGATGCTCTTCTGGGCGGTGGGGTAGCTCTTGTGGTACTGTTGGTGTAGGGGGAAAGCAGCAGATGTAGGAGGTGTTTCTCCGTGGCTGAGGAACACATCACCTGAAGGTGTAAGGAGAAAAGGTCAGTGTGCCCCTTGTGCTGGGGACTTCCTTAGGGAGCATGTGGAGGAGGCAGACGAGGATCAGGAGGGACATTGCCACCTCCTGGTCACTCTGTCCAGAGCACCCATCCTCCAGGAGCTGTATGGAGCAGGACATCCATCCACCTCCTGCTCTCTCCTTGGTGGAGACGGGTGGCTGGTCCTCGGGGAGCCCCCGTGGGTCTCAGGGGGCTCACGACAACCCCTTGCCCTGTGTTTTCCTCCCCCAAACATGAGGTGAAGGAGAGCTTGTCCCTTCCCATCCCTTTGCCCACGGTGTCATCCACTTTGCCAGCCACTCCAGGCTGTCCTGTGAGTGCAGCCACCATTTCAGGGCTATCTCCCACTCAGGTCCATCTCTAGGATGTTAAGGTTTTCCCATTGCCTTGATGAAGATGTCGGGGTGAAAGCAGTTTCAGGTGGCTACCATCACCCCCTGACCCCTCCAGAGCAGTCTCTGGGAGGCCTCCAGCACTGATGCTCCACATCAAGATTGCAGCAGGTTCTGTTGAACCACCTTCAGCCCTGCTCGTGCTGTTGGAGGAGTTTTCCTACCCTGTCTCTGGAGCTTTGCTTGGGGTACAATCACTGGAACCTCACTGCAGCTTCAGAGTATCAGCACTGTAATCGGTTTTGCCAGTTTTGTAAAGGAGTGAAGAGCTTGGAAAGGGCTTGGAGAGGTATTTGGATGGGCTGAGTTTTGTAAAGGAGTGAAGAGCTTGGAAAGGGCTTGGAGAGGTATTTGGATGGGCTGTATTAGTTTGCATCACCCTCTGAGGTGTGCGATTTGAGCCATATTTCTTCAAGGACTTTGAGCCCTCTTTTCAGTTTCTTCCCATGTCCGGTAGTCCTGTCACACCTACAGCCTGTGCTGCTGACAAGCTTTCCTTCCTGATGCTTAATGGTCCTGCATCCTGCCTGCAAGCAACATCAGCATGACCCCCCAGACAGCTCCATCTCAGAGCTCAGCCCTATAGACATCTCCAGCCCAGGATGTTTCCTTCTCTGCCCCAAAGATGTCATATCCACCTTGTCCCCAGCTTGGGTTTCTGCAGCCCTTGTGATCTTGGCCAGGGCCCTGGTGTCTCATGGTCTCCTCTGGGGTTTACATGCAGTGGCAGCAGACACATGTCTCTGCCCTGATCCCCTACTTAGGGTGGCAACAGCCCCCCAAGCTGGCCCAGCTGTAGTCCCCAGCACCCCTGCAACACCATGGTCTCCTCTGGGAGGAGCATCGCCCAGCGAGAAGAGGGCTGCTTGAGAGATGTGTTGTCTCACCTGCAGGTTCCTCTTCATTTTGCTGGGTCCCCGAGCCAAAGGGAAAGCCTACTATGAGGTTGGCAGGGCCATGGCCACACTACTGACGGATGAGGTGAGGCTGCTGCAGCACCCATGGGAGGGATGGGCTTGGGCTGAGGACACCGAAGCTCCTCTCCTCTGCAGGCTGCAGTGGGGGAGGCAGAGGATGGGGCAAGCTGGTGGCCACCCTTGCCAAGGATAAGTCTGTCACACTGACATGGGTGGGTGCCTTTCCCAGAGGCTGCAGACTGGGAGGAAGGCTCCAAGCAGTTGAACCCGGGGACATGATGACTAAATCATGGCATCTCCCTGCAGCTCTTCCAAAGGGTTGCCCGGCAGGCTGAGCACCAAGAGGACCTCATCGCAGGGTTGGAGGCATTCCAAAAAAAAAGTGCTTCCTCCTGGGAAATGGGACCCCAGTGTCCGAATTCCTCCTCCGAGTTGTCTGCCATCTCCACTCAGGAGGTAGGCTGGAAGGAGAGTGCCCACAGCCTCTGCCAGCCCCTCTGCAGGCTCCCAGGTGGAGACCTCTGCCTGCAACATTGAAATTTCTTTCTCTGTGTGGATGAAGCCACCTAGGAGCCAACCTCTACCAGTGAGGTCCTCCCAGACAAGTCCCTCTGCTGATCTGGCCAATGGCCACAGCTCTGGTCCCTGCTGCTATTAGTCCTGCTGCCTCCCCCAGCAGGGGATGGCAAAGCTGTCCCAGGTGCCTTTCAGGCAGGAGCTGTTGGGATGTTGGGCTTCAGCACCTGGACATGAAACATCCTCTGGGCAGGACTCCTCCAGCTCTGTCTAGCTCCTCCACCAAAATTGGTCCCATTAACACTGTCTCCAGGGCTTGGTGGAGTAGGTTGTGGTTGGGTTGGAAGGGACTTCTGAAGATCTAGTCCAAGCAGCCCATCTCTCCTCTTCTTGATCTTTCTCCTCCTCCTCATTATCAGGAGATACATGAGGTCCCCCCAGCCCTGCTTGCACTCCTGCCCCCTCTCCATCTTCCCTGTCCCCTCACAGTGTCTAGATGCAGATCTAGACCACTAGATGCAGCTGGGTCCTGAGGGCTCCAACCTGAAGCCTATGATCTAAGGCTGTGGTCTGCCACAGGCCCATCATGCACTCACCAAATCAGCAGTCCCATGGCCACCAGGATGTGGCAGCAGCTGGGGACAGAGCCAGCCTGGGGCACCCATGCTCCACAGAGGAGCTGGAGAGAACAGGCAGGTGAGTGTCTGGAAGGATGACAGTGGTGGGGCGTGCAGTGGGAAGCCTGATTCAGGGCAGGATGCTGGCCCTCCTCAGAACACGGGACTACCACATCCAAACCACTCTGGCCTTGTGTCTCCTGGGGAAGGGACCGTCCCCTGCCTTGCAGCTCTCAGAGGGGGTGATGGAGGTGATGCCCTGAGACCTCCCTCCACCGCCCCAGGCTTTTTGGGGGGCTGCTGCGGGACATCCGGAGGAAGGTGCCATGGTACGGCAGTGATTTCTGGGACGCCCTGCACCCCCAGTGCCTCTCAGCAGTGCTCTATATCTACCTGGCAACGGTCACCAACGCCATCACCTTCGGTGGCATGCTGGGGGACGCGACCGCCAACATGCAGGTTGGTGTGGCCACAGGCTGCCCAGCACCAACCCCACTTGGCCCAGCCCACAGTTCTCCTGGGTGTCCCACTCCCACCCATGCCCAGGGAGCCAGTAGTGCCCCAAGGGCACCCTGAGCATCATCAAAGTCCTGTGTCCTCCTCCAGCCACCGTGGTCCTTAAATGCTGAACTTGTACCATGCGGGGAGCTGCCAGCAGCTGTGCCACTGCAGGGGACAGGCCTGGGATCCCTGGTCCCACCATGTGCCTGGCCCCTTGCACCTCTTCTCTGCATTTCAGGGAGTGCTGGAGAGCTTCCTGGGCACAGCCTTTGCTGGCTCCATCTTCTGCCTCTTTTCTGGCCAGCCCCTGACCATTTTGAGCAGCACTGGCCCTGTGCTGGTCTTTGAGCGCCTTCTATTCTCCTTCAGCCAGTACGTATGGTGACATGGGCAGTTACTGAGGCCACTGTCCCCTGGCCAGGGCACAGGCAACCAGGATGCCAGATGAGTGTCACTGATGAGGTTTTGGGTCACCCTTTCCACCAGGGACCACAGCTTGGATTACCTGGAGTTTCGCCTCTGGATTGGGCTCTGGGTGGCCTTTTTTGGTGTAGTCTTGGTGGCCACCGAGGCCAGCCACCTGGTGCGGTACTTCACCCGCTTCACTGAGGAATGCTTCTGTGCCCTCATCAGCTTGATATTCATCTATGACTCCCTCAAGAAGATGCTGAGCCTGGCAGATACCTTCCCCATCAACTGGCAGTACCGGCTGGACAATGTCACCTCCTACAGCTGTGTCTGCAACTTGTCCAGACCTGGTGAGCTCAAGCAGCTGCAGAGCTGGTGGGGATTGGGAAGCTGCTGCTACCCCAGGAATCCCCTGGGACTCTGCTGCCCAGCTATATGGGAAAAGGTGCAGAAAGAGGAGGTGGCTGCTCAATCCCATCTTTGCTCTGCCACAGTGGCACTTTCCTCCACTCCTCTTCATGTTGTCTGTCCATCTGTCCCTGTTCCCCAGCACTGGATAGGGAGCACTGGAAGCAAGAAGAGCCTTGGTTTGGCTTCTGTGGCTCTGGGATGGGGGATGTCAGGGGCTGGAGGTGGGCACTGGGGTGGGTTTGCACTGCTGTTTTCAGACCGGTCTGTAAATCAGAGGGTGTCTTGTGGGGCCTGATGGTGTGTTCACACTGATCCTGCAAACAGGATCCATACCTTGTACCAAAAGCATCAGTGTTGTGCACAGCCTGGGGCTGATGGTGTCTCTGAGTGGTTGCTTCTTCAGTCAAGCCCTTCACAGGGGCATCCTCCCTTGGTGCTTCCCAGAGCCTCAGGGGTCCCATGGGGGCCCATGCATCATCCTGTGCCCCTGGGAAGAGCATGAGAAGCTGCCCCAACCCAGTCACCCCTGATGGAGCGTCCTCATGGTGCTGGCGGGCACCCTGACCCCACTTGTCCCCTTGCAGGTCACAGCTCCACAGGGAATGACACACTGGTCACCTCGCTCCTGGCCCCGCAGCAGGTACAGCCCCTGCTCCCAGGCAGGCAGGCAAAAGGCGGGGGTTGGCCTGACGTGTCTGTGTATGACCCCTGCACGCTGCCTGCCCTGTCCCTGCAGCCTCCTGCTGCCCCAGCTGGGCTGAGCAGGACCCAGTGCCTGCGTCGAGGTGGGCACCTCATGGGAACCAGCTGCCAGTGCCTGCCCGATGTCACCCTCATCTCCTTCCTGCTCTTCGGGGGCACCTTCCTCTCCTGCACTGCACTCAAGCGCTTCAGGAGCAGCCGCTACTTTCCTGCAGGGGTGAGCATCCTCCGGCTGCCCCAGCACTGTGGCCACCCATCCTGGTGATGTGGGGAAGGCTCTGGGTGCTGTGACCCAGAGGTGCTCCCAGGGCAGCCCCTTGCGCAGGCCAAGGCCTCTCCATCTGCAGGTGCAGAAGCTGGTGAGTGACTTTGCCATCATCCTGGCCATCCTTGCCTCCTGTGCTGTTGATGCTGCCCTAGGCCTGGAGACCCCCAAGCTCCTTGTCCCCAGCGAGCTGAAGGTACTGGTGGGAAGTGGGTCTGTACCCCCTGCAGTGGCCATCCTGCTACACTGCTGCTGTCCTTCCTGTCGCTGCGTCCAGCTGCCCTATAGGGATGTAGGTTGCACCCCAGGAAACAAGCAGGGGCTCAACTGCAGCTGATCCCATGCTCTGTAAATAACCTGCCTCCGTCCTGGATTAACCACGTCACTACAGTTCATGCTACAGCCAGATTCACAGGCTCAAGTCTGGGCTTGGGCTCCCCACCCTGGGTGTGGAATGGTGCTGGCAGCACCTCAGAGCAGCCTGTGCCTGCTGCCACCTCCTTGGGTTTGCCATCATCAACACCCCACACCACCTCTTCCACCCACTTCTGGGTGCACGTGCCCAGTTCCTGGCTTGTGGTGCCTAGAAGCAACCCCCTGCCTCACCAGAGCCAAGGTGTCCTTATGGGGGGCTGATGGGTCATGCTGCCTACGAGCATCCCCAGGATGAGAGAAGATTCTCTTCCTCTCCCCAGGTGGGGCATCCCTGTGCCTCTGCAGGGCTACAGCAAGAGCACCCAGGGCTGGTTCCATCAGCTGGCTGAGTTGCAGACTCCACAGGTGGGTGGCAGCTGCTATGACCCTTCTGCTTTCTGCAGCCCACAAACCCAGCACGAGGCTGGATCATCTTCCCCTTTGGAGCCAATCCATGATGGGTCTGCCTGGTGTCTGCGGTGCCCGCTGTCCTTGCCACCATCCTCATTTTCATGGACCAGCAGATCACAGCTGTCATCCTTAACCGCAGGGAGTACAAGCTGCAGGTCAGTGGGGGACAGGCAGGACCCAGCAACGAGTCCTGGCTGGCCCCCGTGGGCTAGGGGGCAGCTAGGGGGGATCAGGAGCCTGAACTGG